TTATCATGTTAAAATGCAACATGTTAAAATGTAACATATTAAAATGTAACATGTTCAAATGTAAACTTTTTAAAATGTAACATTTTATCATGTTAAATCACAATATGTTAAAATGTAACATTTTATCATGTTAAAATGCAACATGTTAAAATGTAACATATTAAAATGTAACATGTTAAAATGTAACATTTTTTAATGTAACATTTTTAAATGAAACATGTAAAAATGTAACATTTTATCATGTTAAAATGAAACAAATGAAAATGTAACATTTTATCATGTTAAAATGAAAAATGTTAAAATGTAACATTTTATCATGTTTAAATGAAACATGTAAAAATGTAACATTTTTTAATGTAACATTTTATCATGTTAAAATGAAACATGTTAAAATGTAACATTTTATCATGTTAAAATGCAACATGTTAAAATGTAACATATTAAAATGTAACATGTTAAAATGTAACATTTTAAAATGTAACATTTTAAAATGAAACATGTTAAAATGTAACATTTTATCATGTTAAAATGAAACATGTTAAAATGTAACATTTTATCATGTTAAAATGTAACATTTTATCATGTTAAAATGCAACATGTTAAAATGTAACATTTTATCATGTTAAAATGAAACATGTTAAAATGTAAGATTTTATCATGTTAAAATGAAACATGTTAAAATGTAACATTTTATCATGTTAAAATGAAACATGTTAAAATGTAACATTTTATCATGTTAAAATGAAACATGTTAAAATGTAACATTTTATGATGTTAAAATGAAACATGTTAAAATGTAACATTTTATCATGTTAAAATGAAACATTTTATCATGTTAAAATGAAACATGTTAAAATGTTACATTTTATCATGTTAAAATGCAACATGTTAAAATGTAACATTTTATCATGTTAAAATGCAACATGTTTAAATGTAACATATTTAAATGTAACATGTTAAAATGTAACATTTTATGATGTTAAAATGAAAAATGTTAAAATGTAACATTTTATCATGTTTAAATGAAACATGTAAAAATGTAACATTTTTAAATGTAACATTTTATCATGTTAAAATGAAACATGTTAAAATGTAACATTTTATCATGTTAAAATGCAACATGTTAAAATGTAACATTTTATCATGTTAAAATGCAACATGTTAAAATGTAACATTTTATCATGTTAAAATGCAACATGTTAAAATGTAACATTTTATCATGTTAAAATGCAACATGTTAAAATGTAACATATTAAAATGTAACATGTTAAAATGGAACATTTTTTAATGTAACATTTTTAAATGAAACATGTAAAAATGTAACATTTTATCATGTTAAAATGAAACAAGTGAAAATGTAACATTTTATCATGTTAAAATGCAACATGTTAAAATGTAACATTTTATCATGTTAAAATGAAACATGTTAAAATGTAACATTTTATGATGTTAAAATGCAACATGTTAAAATGTAACATATAAAAATGTAACATGTTAAAATGTAACATTTTAAAATGTAACATTTTATCATGTTAAAATGCAACATGTTTAAATGTAACATATTTAAATGTAACATGTTAAAATGTAACATTTTATGATGTTAAAATGAAAAATGTTAAAATGTAACATTTTATCATGTTTAAATGAAACATGTAAAAATGTAACATTTTTAAATGTAACATTTTATCATGTTAAAATGAAACATGTTAAAATGTAACATTTTATCATGTTAAAATGCAACATGTTAAAATGTAACATTTTATCATGTTAAAATGCAACATGTTAAAATGTAACATTTTATCATGTTAAAATGCAACATGTTAAAATGTAACATTTTATCATGTTAAAATGCAACATGTTAAAATGTAACATATTAAAATGTAACATGTTAAAATGTAACATTTTTTAATGTAACATTTTTAAATGAAACATGTAAAAATGTAACATTTTATCATGTTAAAATGAAACAAGTGAAAATGTAACATTTTATCATGTTAAAATGCAACATGTTAAAATGTAACATTTTATCATGTTAAAATGAAACATATTAAAATGTAACATTTTATCATGTTAAAATGAAACATGTTAAAATGTAACATTTTATCATGTTAAAATGAAACATGTTAAAATGTAACATTTTATCATGTTAAAATGAAACATGTTAAAATGTAACATTTTATCATGTTAAAATAAAACATGTTTAAATGTAACATTTTATCATGTTAAAATGAAACATGTTAAAATGTAACATTTTATCATGTTAAAATGAAACATGTTAAAATGTAACATTTTATGATGTTAAAATGAAACATGTTAAAATGTAACATTTTATCATGTTAAAATGAAACATGTTAAAATGTAACATTTTATCATGTTAAAATGAAACATGTTAAAATGTAACATTTTATCATGTTAAAATGCAACATGTTAAAATGTAACATATTAAAATGTAACATGTTAAAATGCAACATGTTAAAATGTAACATTTTATCATGTTAAAATGCAACATGTTAAAATGTAACATATTAAAATGTAACATGTTCAAATGTAACATTTTAAAATGTAACATTTTATCATGTTAAATCGCAATATGTTACAATGTAACATTTTATCATGTTAAAATGCAACATGTTAAAATGTAACATTTTACTATGTTAAAATGCAACATGTTAAAATGTAACATATTAAAATGTAACATGTTAAAATGTAACATTTTAAAATGTAACATTTTTAAATGAAACATGTTAAAATGTAACATTTTATCATGTTAAAATGAAACATGTTAAAATGTAACATTTTATCATGTTAAAATGCAACATGTTAAAATGTAACATTTTATCATGTTAAAATGCAACATGTTAAAATGTAACATTTTATCATGTTAAAATGCAACATGTTAAAATGTAACATTTTATCATGTAAATATGCAACATGTTAAAATGTAACATATAAAAATGTAACATGTTAAAATGTAACATTTTAAAATGTAACATTATAAAATGAAACATGTTAAAATGTAACATTTTATCATGTTAAAATGAAACATGTTATAATGTAACATTTTATCATGTTAAAATGAAACATGTTAAAATGTAACATTTTATCATGTTAAAATGAAACATGTTTAAATGTAACATTTTATCATGTTAAAATGCAACATGTTAAAATGTAACATTTTATCATGTAAAAATGCAACATGTTAAAATGTAACATTTTATCATGTTAAAATGCAACATGTTAAAATGCAACATGTTAAAATGTAACATTTTATCATGTTAAAATGCAACATGTTAAAATGTAACATATTAAAATGTAACATGTTAAAATGTAACATTTTATGATGTTAAAATGAAAAAGGTTAAAATGTAACATTTTATCATGTTTAAATGAAACATGTAAAAATGTAACATTTTTTAATGTAACATTTTATCATGTCAAAATGAAACATGTTAAAATGTAACATTTTATCATGTTAAAATGCAACATGTTAAATTGTAACATGTTAAAATGAAACATGTTAAAATGTAACATTTTATCATGTTAAAATGAAACGTTAAAATGTAACATTTTATCATGTTAAAATGAAACATGTTAAAATGTAACATTTTATCATGTTAAAATGAAACATGTTAAAATGTAACATTTTATCATGTTAAAATGCAACATGTTAAAATGTAACATTTTATCATGTTAAAATGCAACATGTTAAAATGTAACATATTAAAATGTAACATGTTAAAATGCAACATGTTAAAATGTAACATTTTATCATGTTAAAATGCAACATGTTAAAATGTAACATATTAAAATGTAACATGTTCAAATGTAAACTTTTTAAAATGTAACATTTTATCATGTTAAATCACAATATGTTAAAATGTAACATTTTATCATGTTAAAATGCAACATGTTAAAATGTAACATTTTACAATGTTAAAATGCAACATGTTAAAATATAACATATTAAAATGTAACATGTTAAAATGTAACATTTTAAAATGTAACATTTTTAAATGAAACATGTTAAAATGTAACATTTTATCATGTTAAAATGAAACATGTTAAAATGTAACATTTTATCATGTTAAAATGCAACATGTTAAAATGTAACATTTTATCATGTTAAAATGCAACATGTTAAAATGTAACATTTTATCATGTTAAAATGCAACATGTTAAAATGTAACATTTTATGATGTTAAAATGCAACATGTAAAATGTAACATTTTATCATGTTAAAATGCAACATGTTAAAATGTAACATATTTAAATGTAACATGTTAAAATGTAACATTTTATGATGTTAAAATGAAAAATGTTAAAATGTAACATTTTATCATGTTTAAATGAAACATGTAAAAATGTAACATTTTTTAATGTAACATTTTATCATGTTAAAATGAAACATGTTAAAATGTAACATTTTATCATGTTAAAATGCAACATGTTAAAATGTAACATATTAAAATGTAACATGTTAAAATGTAACATTTTAAAATGTAACATTTTAAAATGAAACATGTTAAAATGTAACATTTTATCATGTTAAAATGAAACATGTTAAAATGTAACATTTTATCATGTTAAAATGTAACATTTTATCATGTTAAAATGCAACATGTTAAAATGTAACATTTTATCATGTTAAAATGAAACATGTTAAAATGTAAGATTTTATCATGTTAAAATGAAACATGTTAAAATGTAACATTTTATCATGTTAAAATGAAAAATGTTAAAATGTAACATTTTATGATGTTAAAATGAAACATGTTAAAATGTAACATTTTATCATTGTTCAAAATGAATAGTTTAAATTATTTATTATATCTGTAAATGAAAAACTGATGTTCCTTGGTGAACATTTAAGCAACACTAAAAATCTTTATTTATTTACAAATTGGAATAGAAGCATATTTTTTGTAATCATCTGTTTAAAGAAAGACAAAGTTCAATATAATTAAACCTTTAACTAATATAACATTTTCTCCGGGGCGAGTTTAAGTCATCAGCTTGACTAGTTTAGCAGTCGGTCTTCTCCAGGTGCCGGTGGACGTTTTGATGTCTGCCACCCTCACTTGGCCATCTCGTCCAGGGTAAACAGCTTCGACTACACCCTTTGTCCACCTTCCTCTGGCTTGGCTATCTTCGGCAATTAGTACCACGTCTCCTTCTTTTAGATTATCTCGCCTTTCGTGCCACTTTGAGCGTTTGTTTAGTAAAGGCACATATTCTTTCAGCCAACGTTTCCAGAATTTGTCTGCCATGTCCTGTGCGATCTTCCATTGTCTATGCAGGTGCTTCTCCGTTATAATGACAGCTGGTGTGACTCTATCTGCTCCTCCCTGGAGAAAGTGGTTTGATGTCAAAGGGAGCTCATCATTAGGGTCGTCTGATACAGGAAATAAGGGTCTGTTGTTGATTATGTATTCTACTTCACATAATAGAGTAGTCAACGTTTCTTCTTTAGGAGCTTGGGTGTTTAAAATCACTCTTAAACATTTCTTCACCGATTGTATAAGACGTTCATGCGCACCACCCATGTGAGGGCTCGCCGGTGGTAGAAAAGTCCACTTCATCATCTTCCCCACGCAGAACGTTTTAATTTGTTCGTTATCAAACGACTCAAGTCCTTTTCTTAATTCGTTCTCTGCGCCCTTAAAGTTGGTACCATTGTCTGATATCAATTCCGAAGGACAACCCCGCCTTGCTGCAAATCTCCTGATCGCAAGAATTGCCGAGTCTGTATTGAGAGAAGCTGCAATCTCCAAGTGTACCGCTCGCACTGACAGACATGTGAACAACACTCCATATCGCTTTTCTCTTCTGCGACCTATAGTGACTTCCAGAGGCCCAAAATAATCCACAGCCACACAGGTGAATGGACGTCCATAAGGTTCTAATCTGTTTGCCGGAAGAGGAGCCATCTGAGGATTTTTAGGTGTGTTTCTGCGCAGCTGACACTTCTTACAATTTGCCCAACAGCTCTTAATTGCTCGCTTCAAACGGATTACCCAAAATCGTTGTCTCAAATTATTTGCCACGGTTTCTTGACCTTGATGAGCTGCCTGTTCATGTTCATGTTGGATCAATAGGACTGTAAGTCGATGTTTAGGATCTAAAATTATGGGATTTTTCAGGTCTTGACTGATTTGGTTCCCATATTCAGTCCTTCCTCTCATTTTCAATAAGTTCCCTGTCAAAATAGGACTTAGCTTATGAAGTCGACTTTCTCGAGGAACTGGCTTGTTCTCCTCAAGATTCTTCATTTCTTTAGGAAAAGATTCTAGTTGTGAAAGTCTGAAGCAGGTTTCTTCAGCTCGTTGAAGCTCTTCAACACCAAGACTCACATTTGTATTTCTCTCAGATTTACATCTCGTATTGGAAATGAATCGTTGCATCCATGCTACTGCTCTTATGAGTCTGGAGTATTTTGAAAATCTCTCCATATCGATAACATTTTCTTTGTTTTCAGGTAAAATTGCTAAGGCTACTTCATTGCAGTCTTCTTTTCTCGGAATACTTTCAATTTTTGGCCATTCTTTTTCTTTTTTAAGTAAGAAGGATGGACCTTGGAGCCAACGGCAATCGTTCGTTAATGGAGTTGCTGATTCCCGTGTAGCTTCATCAGCTACATTTTCTGTCGTAGGTAACCACCTCCATTGATTTCTGTCTGAGTTGCTCAGTATTTTATCAACACGATTAGCAACATAGGCTGACTTTTGCTTTTGAGTTGCTTGAATCCAGCACCACACAATTCTTGAGTCCGTCCAAAAGTATGTTTGGTCTATTTCCATTTTGTGAAACTGATAGATCAAAGATGCAATTTGACTGCCTAATACAGCTGCTTGCAGTTCAAGTCTAGGGATGGTGGACGACTTTAGGGGAGCAACACGTGATCTTGCCAGTACAAAAACAACTTCCACGCAATCTTCTGGTTTTTCAGTCCTAAAATAAGCAACCGAACAAAATCCTTTCTCACTTGCGTCACAGAAAATATGTAATGATACAGTGCAGTTTGCAGTCAAGTTGTAGCATCGAGGTATTTTCAGATTTTCCGAAATCTTCACATCTTTCATCCAATTTCTCCATGCCTTTTCCAACTGCGCTGGAATTCTTTCATCCCACTGGACATTCATTTTCCACAGATTTTGTACCAGAATTTTGCCCTTCATTGTGATTGGAGTGATAAAGCCTATTGGATCATAAATGGACATCACAGCCTGGAGCACCTGTCGTTTGGTTGGTGGCTCTTTTAGATCAACGACTTCTTTCTTCACTTTTACAAAGTTGATTTTGAAAAGGAAGAAATCCTCATGGAAATTCCAGTGTATCCCGAGTACTCGCTCTGTGTCATCAGTTGTTATTCCAACATCTTCTTCTTTCAAGTAGTTTTTTGACCAACTTTTCTTTGGCAGACAGCTCATTAACTCTGGTGAATTGCTAATAAAGTTCCTCAAATTGAAACCACCTTTTTTACATATGTTTACAACTCCTTCTATTAAGCTCTTAGCTTCTTCCACAGATTGGTTGCTATCAAGATAATCATCCATGTAGAATTGTTGATTTACAGCTAGCTTTGCATCTGGATGTTCCTCTCCATGTTTTTCACTATTTTTTCTAGTTATGTAAATGGCACTGGTTGGTGAGCAAACTGCCCCAAAAATCATTGATGTCATACACCACTCCTGTAATTTTCCGTCAGTTTCTTCCCTCCATAAAAAACGTAGTGAGTCTTGATCTTCTGGAATAATCTTTATTCTCAAAAACATCTCTTCAATATCTGCTGCGTATGCGATTTCATGTTTTCTGAACTGGAACAGAATACTTATCAGGCTATTGAATAAATTTGGTCCAGGTAGTAGACAACTGTTCAGGCTCTTTCCATGTGATTTTGACGCAGCATCAAACACAAAACGGAACTTGTCCGGTTTTCTGGGATTGTAGACAGGAAAGTGAGGAAGGTACCAGGTTTTCTCACTTTTGTTCTTTACCTCATCCAAATTTAACTTTTTTGCATATCCCTTTTCAGCATAACTTGCTATTTTCTGATGATATTGTTGACATAGTTTTGGGTCCTCTTTCATTTTATTTTCAACGTAGTTAAATCTCTTCAATGCAACGGAACGACTTTCTGGTAACCATGGTTTGTCTTCTTTCCATAACAAACCAGTTTGCCAACAACCATCTTCTGTTTGTGAACAGGTATTTTCCAATATTTTTTCTGCTCTAACTTCTTCATCGCTTTTATTGGATTCCTTAATCAGGCAGTCGATAAAATCCCTCTCAAAACTTTCTTTAACTAGTGAGTTAAGCTCCAACATATCTGAATTTGTTTCATGTTTAAACATAACAAAGTCGTTGTCTATACGAGTTTGATAGTTTACATTTCCAGTAGGACCATTTATTGTCCAACCTAGTTTCGACTTCAAAGCAATCGGTGCATTTGTAGGTCCAATGATTACTTTCAGAGGCACTGTCAAATGTACATGTTCATGTCCAATCAGTAGTCGTGGACGACCACGCTGAAACACTTCTTCAGGGATTTCCTGTAAATAAGACCATTTATTTTTCATTTGTTCTGAATTCATAGACTGTATTGGTAACTGCAAGGCTGTCAAGGTCTTCACGTTGTTTAGAGTCAAGTGTTCGCCTGTATCTCCTATAACTGTCAGTGTTACAGTCTGAGATTCTTTTTCTGTATAAACAGATCCATCTGTCCAGGAGAAAGATACAGGTTTAGTAGGTCCATCAATTTCGAGTTCTTCAACCAATCCCTTTTCGATGACAGAAATAGTTGAACCGTCATCAATTAAAGCAAATGTTTCAATTTGCTTGCCATTCTTTCCTACCAATGTTACTGAGAGAACCCTCAACAACACTCTTGCAACAGGTTCTTCTTGAAATCCCATATGTTCACTGTGAATTTCCAATTTAGGTGTCTCTTTATTAGCACCTTCTTCTTTTGAGGTCACGTGTAACAGTTTATTATGGAAATAGGTGCAGCCATTAACTCCACAAGCAAGTTTGTTACGACAAGTCATCGCTCGGTGTTTAGTCTTCAAGCAATTGAAACACAGACTGTTACTCTTGACTGTCTCCCATCTTTTATTTACATCATACTTTAGGAATTGCTTGCATTCTGTCAATGTATGGTCTTGTTTTTTGCAGCAAACACATATACGTTTTTTAAACTTCTTGTCACCTTCATGTTGTACTAATACAAAGTTCTTGGAGTTTGATTCATTTCTTGATGACATGTTTTTAAAGTTTCCACTAGTAGATGTACTGGGAGCACATATAATTGCTGCATCTGCCACAGAAGAGAGCCACGTCGAAAAGCTGTCGAGGCCAATTGGTTGTTTCAATTGAGACTGTGGTGAAGTGACAAACATTCCCCAGTTGAGCTTCATGTTGGTGGACAGTTTTTCTGTGAGCTCTTCCATAAGTTGTGGGTTAAACAAGTAGTGGTCCTGCTTCAAGGATTTTACCGTAACTACTAAGTTCCTTACCATGTCACTAAAAGCAACCAAAGTGTCAGGCTTGTAGTCCTTAGTTGGTGGTCGACCTTTCACGCTTGCTATGAGATTTTTAATAATTATATCTGGTCTTCCGAAACGCCGTTCCAACAAATTAACAATTTCTGGTACGTTCTCAGGATATATCAACAGTGCTGATATCATTTCTTTAGCTTTTCCAGTAATACACTTCTGAAGTCTTTGAAGATTCTCCAAATCAGTGTAGTCATTAATTTCAGTAGATCGCCTGTATTCAGCTATCCAAGCGGGCCATTGGTCTAGATCTCCGCTGAAATTAGGTAGAGCTGACAATATTCTCGCCGGCATCTTCTCTCTAAATATCATTTTATCAGGTTGACAATCTCGAGGGAAACACGAAACATCTCGAGGAATTCTCCTTCCTTCGCTGAAAGCTACAGTCCTTGCTTCTCGAGGATTTTCACAGTTTTCTTCTCGAGGCTGGAAACTAGACTGTACTTCGTGATGCGGCAAGGATACCTCCTGCTGTACACTCTTCATAATATTTACTGGAACATTAGTACAAGGCTTCAAAACGTTATTTTTATTAATGTCTTCAGCTTGATCCTTTGTCTGCATCCACTTTTCAACAGCTTCCTTTGTGGGCAACGGTCGTGGAAGAGAAGAAATTGAAGTCCTAGATGATCTGCTACTGACTCTTGACGATCCCCTGCTAAGCGATGACAGTCTGTCTTCAAGTAGCTTCTTCTTCATTTCTATTTCCTTCCGCTTGGCTTCTTCCTCCACTCGGGCAAGTCTTTCATCAGCTACTGCTATTTTTACTGCTGCCTCTGCCTCTGCTTTCTCCGCCGCCGCCTTTGCTTTAGCACATGATACAACAAGGGACGTTTCTTCTTCCTGTATCTTAATCAATTCGTCCATAACCTCTAAAACACTTTCATTCCTACTCCTACTTGAGCTAGTTTTATGAGATCTTACCGACAAAGGAATATGCATATCACTTACTGGCTCATTATTTTTACCATCAAAATCCTGAGATTTTATAGCAGACTTCTTGACTTTGGACCTTGTAAATGCTCCAGTAGTCGACATTTAGTTGATTCGCAAAAGTTTCGGCACCAATGTTCAAAATGAATAGTTTAAATTATTTATTATATCTGTAAATGAAAAACTGATGTTCCTTGGTGAACATTTAAGCAACACTAAAAATCTTTATTTATTTACAAATTGGAATAGAAGCATATTTTTTGTAATCATCTTTTTAAAGAAAGACAAAGTTCAATATAATTAAACCTTTAACTAATATAACAATCATGTTAAAATGAAACATGTTAAAATGCAACATGTTAAAATGTAACATTTTATCATGTTAAAATGCAACATTTTTAAATGTAACATATTTAAATGTAACATGTTAAAATGTAACATTTTATGATGTTAAAATGAAAAATGTTAAAATGTAACATTTTATCATGTTTAAATGAAACATGTAAAAATGTAACATTTTTAAATGTAACATTTTATCATGTTAAAATGAAACATGTTAAAATGTAACATTTTATCATGTTAAAATGCAACATGTTAAAATGTAACATTTTATCATGTTAAAATGCAACATGTTAAAATGTAACATTTTATCATGTTAAAATGCAACATGTTAAAATGTAACATTTTATCATGTTAAAATGCAACATATTAAAATGTAACATGTTAAAATGTAACATTTTTAATGTAACATTTTTAAATGAAACATGTAAAAATGTAACATTTTATCATGTTAAAATGAAACAAGTGAAAATGTAACATTTTATCATGTTAAAATGCAACATGTTAAAATGTAACATTTTATCATGTTAAAATGAAACATGTTAAAATGTAACATTTTATCATGTTAAAATGAAACATGTTAAAATGTAACATTTTATCATGTTAAAATGAAACATGTTAAAATGTAACATTTTATCATGTTAAAATGAAACATGTTTAAATGTAACATTTTATCATGTTAAAATGAAACATGTTAAAATGTAACATTTTATCATGTTAAAATGAAACATGTTAAAATGTAACATTTTATGATGTTAAAATGAAACATGTTAAAATGTAACATTTTATCATGTTAAAATGAAACATGTTAAAATGTAACATTTTATCATGTTAAAATGCAACATGTTAAAATCTAACATTTTATCATGTTAAAATGCAACATGTTTAAATGCAACATGTTTAAATGTAACATATTAAAATGTAACATGTTAAAATGTAACATTTTATGATGTTAAAATGAAAAATGTTAAAATGTAACATTTTATCATGTTTAAATGAAACATGTAAAAATGTAACAATTTTAAATGTAACATTTTATCATGTTAAAATGAAACATGTTAAAATGTAACATTTTATCATGTTAAAATGCAACATGTTAAAATGTAACATTTTATCATGTTAAAATGCAACATGTTAAAATGTAACATTTTATCATGTTAAAATGCAACATGTTAAAATGTAACATTTTATCATGTTAAAATGCAACATGTTAAAATGTAACATATTAAAATGTAACATGTTAAAATGTAACATTTTTTAATGTAACATTTTAAAATGAAACATGTAAAAATATAACATTTTATCGTGTTAAAATGAAACAAGTTAAAATGTAACATTTTATCATGTTAAAATGCAACATGTTAAAATGTAACATTTTATCATGTTAAAATGAAACATGTTAAAATGTAACATTTTATCATGTAACATTTTATCATGTTAAAATGAAACATGTTAAAATGTAACATTTTATCATGTTAAAATGAAACATGTTAAAATGTAACATTTTATCATGTTAAAATGAAACATGTTAAAATGTAACATTTTATCATGTTAAAATGCAACATGTTAAAATGAAACATTTTATCATGTTAAAATGAAACATGTTAAAATGTAACATTTTATCATGTTAAAATGCAGCATGTTAAAATGTAACATATTAAAATGTAACATGTTAAAATGCAACATGTTAAAATGTAACATTTTATCATGTTAAAATGCAACATGTTAAAATGTAACATTTTATCATGTTAAAATGCAACATGTTAAAATGTAACATATTAAAATGTAACATGTTCAAATGTAACATTTTAAAATGTAACATTTTATCATGTTAAATCGCAATATGTTAAAATGTAACATTTTATCATGTTAAAATGCAACATGTTAAAATGTAAAATTTTACTATGTTAAAATGCAACATGTTAAAATGTAACATATTAAAATATAACATGTTAAAATGTAACATTTTAAAATGTAACATTTTTAAATGAAACATGTTAAAATGTAACATTTTATCATGTTAAAATGAAACATGTTAAAATGTAACATTTTATCATGTTAAAATGCAACATGTTAAAATGTAACATTTTATCATGTTAAAATGCAACATGTTAAAATGTAACATTTTATCATGTTAAAATGCAACATGTTAAAATGTAACATATAAAAATGTAACATGTTAAAATGTAACATTTTAAAATGAAACATGTTAAAATGTAACATTTTATCATGTTAAAATGAAACATGTTATAATGTAATATTTTATTATGTTAAAATGCAACATGTTAAAATGTAACATTTTATCATGTTAAAATGCAACATGTTAAAATGTAACATTTTATCATGTTAAAATGCAACATGTAAAAATGTAACATTTTATCCTGTAAAAATTCAACATGTTAAAATGTAACATTTTATCATGTTAAAATGCAACATGTTAAAATGCAACATGTTAAAATGCAACATGTTAAAATGTAACATTTTATCATGTTAAAATGCAACATGTTAAAATGTAACATATTAAAATGTAACATGTTAAAATGTAACATTTTATGATGTTAAAATGAAAAATGTTAAAATGTAACATTTTATCATGTTTAAATGAAACATGTAAAAATGTAACATTTTTTAATGTAACATTTTATCATGTTAAAATGAAACATGTTAAAATGTAACATTTTATCATGTTAAAATGCAACATGTTAAAATGTAACATATTAAAATGTAACATGTTAAAATGTAACATTTTAAAATGTAACATTTTAAAATGTAACATTTTAAAATGAAACATGTTAAAATGTAACATTTTATGATGTTAAAATGAAACATGTTAAAATGTAACATTTTATCATGTTAAAATAAAACATGTTAAAATGTAACATTTTATCATGTTAAAATGCAACATGTTAAAATGTAACATATTAAAATGTAACATTTTAAAATGAAACATGTTAAAATGTAACATTTTATCCTGTAAAAATTCAACATGTTAAAATGTAACATTTTATCATGTTAAAATGCAACATGTTAAAATGCAACATGTTAAAATGTAACATTTTATCATGTTAAAATGCAACATGTTAAAATGTAACATATTAAAATGTAACATGTTAAAATGTAACATTTTATGATGTTAAAATGAAAAATGTTAAAATGTAACATTTTATCATGTTTAAATGAAACATGTAAAAATGTAACATTTTTTAATGTAACATTTTATCATGTTAAAATGAAACATGTTAAAATGTAACATTTTATCATGTTAAAATGCAATATGTTAAAATGTAACATATTAAAATGTAACATGTTAAAATGTAACATTTTAAAATGTAACATTTTAAAATGTAACATTTTAAAATGAAACATGTTAAAATGTAACATTTTATGATGTTAAAATGAAACATGTTAAAATGTAACATTTTATCATGTTAAAATAAAACATGTTAAAATGTAACATTTTATCATGTTAAAATGCAACATGTTAAAATGTAACATTTTATCATGTTAAAATGCAACATGTTAAAATGTAACATTTTATCATGTTAAAATGCAACATGTTAAAATGTAACATATTAAAATGTAACATGTTAAAATGTAACATTTTTTAATGTAACATTTTTAAATGAAACATGTAAAAATGTAACATTTTATCATGTTAAAATGAAACAAGTGAAAATGTAACATTTTATCATGTTAAAATGCAACATGTTAAAATGTAACATTTTATCATGTTAAAATGAAACATGTTAAAATGTAACATTTTATCATGTTAAAATGAAACATGTTAAAATGTAACATTTTATCATGTTAAAATGAAACATGTTAAAATGTAACATTTTATCATGTTAAAATGAAACATGTTTAAATGTAACATTTTATCAAGTTAAAATGAAACATGTTAAAATGTAACATTTTATCATGTTAAAATGAAACATGTTAAAATGTAACATTTTATGATGTTAAAATGAAACATGTTAAAATGTAACATTTTATCATGTTAAAATGAAACATGTTAAAATGTAACATTTTATCATGTTAAAATGCAACATGTTAAAATCTAACATTTTATCATGTTAAAATGCAACATGTTTAAATGCAACATGTTTTAATGTAACATATTAAAATGTAACATGTTAAAATGTAACATTTTATGATGTTAAAATGAAAAATGTTAAAATGTAACATTTTATCATGTTTAAATGAAACATGTAAAAATGTAACAATTTTAAATGTAACATTTTATCATGTTAAAATGAAACATGTTAAAATGTAACATTTTATCATGTTAAAATGCAACATGTTAAAATGTAACATTTTATCATGTTAAAATGCAACATGTTAAAATGTAACATTTTATCATGTTAAAATGCAACATGTTAAAATGTAACATTTTATCATGTTAAAATGCAACATGTTAAAATGTAACATATTAAAATGTAACATGTTAAAATGTAACATTTTTTAATGTAACATTTTTAAATGAAACATGTAAAAATATAACATTTTATCATGTTAAAATGAAACAAGTTAAAATGTAACATTTTATCATGTTAAAATGCAACATGTTAAAATGTAACATTTTATCATGTTAAAAT